AGTCAACGGGCAAACCGGCAACTAAGGAAACGACTAGCATCTGACATAAGGATTGAGGATTATGCTGCATGATCGACCAGCATGTAAGGAATCAAGGCCTGTGCGCACGGTCCAGCATGCATCCAAGCCAGCAAAATCGAAGCTTGAGCGGATTGGCCGGAAAAGCCCGTTTGCTTGCCACAACAAATGATCTTCCCAAATCATAGTTGAGTCCAAAAACTTGGGAGGTGAGTTATGACGTACTTTGGCTCAAGAATACCTGACAACCTCATTCGAATTATTTAGTCACCCAATCATGCTTCGAGTTTTCCCTTCATCCCCCAAACCAGTGAATGCTTTGTCTGGTTTTTCTTTAATAACAATGCTGAAACGGGTAGCCCCTAACGTTCAAACACATCAATGTCTTGGTTTCCCTGCCCCTCACCCCGCCAAGCATAGCGGCTCGTGCTTTGCGAGGCTACCCTTTTCAGGTTGTCTTTTTGAGGAAACCACAAGGAGAACCAACAGCTTGGGGCCGTTAAGTCTTTTTGAGGATGCCCTTTTCCGGGAGATGCCGTGAGATACGTGCCGCCCAAAGGAGGCCGCCCAGGCGCATGAAGACCAGCCCCACGGTGAAGCCCACGAGCAGCGCGCCCGTGGCCACGTGTGGTGAGACCCCCTGCTTGGGCGAGAGCAGCGGGAAGAGCTCGTTGGCCACGGCGGAGATCAGGAGACCTGGCGGATTGTGGATGGTCACACTCGACTTCGTGACGTTTGGCTCAAGAGAAACAGCGCACAGCTGCCTTACTGTGTTGCTTTCCCCCTTTTGAGCTTTTTTGTGTTTCGTAGTTTGAAACAAACAGGTGCTTCTTGTTACCCTTTTCGGGTTGGTTTGAAGGGAAACCAAAAAGAAAAACCATGGATTTTGGGCGCCTTGGTCCCCTTGGCTTGGGGAAATGTCAAAGTAGTTCTGGGCTCTCAGTCTCAGACTCCTGGCTCTGCTTCCTTGGAGCATGAACTCTGTACTGGGCTGTTCAAACTGACCCCATGCAAAAATCAGTACTATGGTGAAAGCTACTGAATGGCAAAACACCTCAAAAAAGACTACCTGAATGGAAGCAGCCTGGTCTCCATACCTGGAGCATCTCGCGGCATCTCAGCCGCCGAACTTCAACTGGGCAGATTGCACCAAGTCACGCGCCTGAAATAGGAAATCCTCATCAAAATGGATTCCACCCCCCGATATTGGTATGGCGGACACCCTATAGGGTCTATTCCGTAACCATGTTTTTTTGGGGCATTTGGTGTGAAGGAAAAAAAATATCGGCCTGCCAAATCGCCTCGTGTCCATGCCCCCAACGCCCCCTCCCCTCCCCCCCTCCCCTCCCTCCCCCCCCCTCCCTCCCTGCCGCCCTCTGCGCGTTTCTTTTTTTTTCCGGGGCTCCAGTTCAGCTCACGGCGCAGAGCTGGCCGATGACCTCCCCGGTGCTCATGGCGCCCCAGAGCACCACCCGCCCGTCCGCGCAAACCGCGCAGAAGGCGCAGCCGCTGGCCTGGATGCACCTCTCGGGGCCGGAAGCCACCAGCGGCGTCTTTTTGTCTCTGGAAAACGGGCTGGAGAAAAAACGGCTCTTTTGGTGGTGCACAAACGGATTGTTAGAAACCAGGTTGCACCCGCCACATTGGTGTTTTCCTGCTCTTTGTGCAAAACAAACAAGGAAAACACCCATGTGGCGGGTCCAACCTAAGGAAAAGCAATCCGTAGGGGTGGGTCTGTGTATGATGGTAGCCCTTTTTGGGGTTGGCTCAATAGGGAAACCAAAAGGAACCCAACCAAAGGAGGTGGGTCCAACCTAAAGAAAACCAAACCCATAGGGGTAGGTCGTTTTACGGGGTGCCCTTGTCGGGGTTGGCTTAAAAGAGGAAGCAACAGGAAACTACTTACTTGAGATTGTTCTCAACAACCCAATACTAAATATTTTCCCCTAGAGTTTCTGTTGCCACACACCAACCGAATTGTGGATGTTAGGGACGAGAGGTCTGCAGTTCAAAATAGCGGGGTGGAGGAATTTTGAGATGGCTTATATAAGTACCCCAGGGTTTTTTGTTTTCTCGGGAGCTCACAGGGGGCTAAATGGGGGGGGGAGGTCTGCACAAAGTTGAATACTTCGTTTGTGTCCTCAGGGGAAATTAACATGCTAGCGTTGATGGGCCAGTTAGCACCCATTGAACCACCTGTTGCCCAACGTAAAGCCACCAGCTTTGTGTTTAGAGGAGAAAAACACACACACACACATGCACATCGGGGGGGGGGGGAGAATGGGAATTGGGCCTACTCTCCAAGCTGCTCCAAGTGGTCAATCCAATGGGAGCTTGAGCTCCACCCAAAGCATCAACCAAAGGGCTTCGATGAGCCAAAGAACCACATGGGTATAGCTCGTCAAAACATCCCGGATTCCTTCAGATGGATTCGGTTTTCCTTTTGGCTTCCCCAAACCCCCACCTGGGATTCCCGAGTTCTTGGTGGTTTCAGGCGACCCAACCGCCATGCCTCACATCCCGCAGCTGATCCTGGACCTTGCTGCTGTCCCCGCCACAGCTGGTGTCTCCCCAGGTCACCACCTGCGGGGAACCGGTGACACGTTGTGGAGGGGTTCCCTAGTTTTGACGTGCTATACCCAGGCTTTGCTCCAGCCCACCTCTTTCTTTGGCTCATCGAAACCCTTTGGAGAGTAGGGGTTCTCCCGAAATGGTCCGACCAAACGGGGGAGCACCATTCTCTGGGAGACTCCCAGAATGACTGAAACGGCGGTTCTCAAAAAGGTGAAAGGGATTCAAAAGAAAACAGATCGTCTCAGGAGCCTCCCCTATTTGAGAAGCGGACTCAACGAGTCAACCTGCAAAGCGTCCAAAAGAATCTCCTTTGTTGATCTGCAGAGGAGTGAAAGAAAAACAACACGCTCAATGGAAACACCCAACAAAAAGGGGGACAAAAAAACCCCTTTGGTGAGCTGGCTGACGTGAAAGGTAAGCCCCTCCCAAAAAAGAGAAAGACACAACACAAAGGCACAACACTCAAAATGAAACAAACAAACACACAAACAAACAAACAAACAAACAAACAAACAAACAAACTAACTAACTAACTAACTAACTAACTAACGAACACACAAACAAGCAAACAAGCAAGCAAGCAAGCAAGCAAGCAAGCAAGCAAGCAAGCAAGCAAGCAAGCAAGCAAGCAAGCAAGCAAGCAAGCAAGCAAGCAAGCAAGCAAGCAAGCAAGCAAGCAAGCAAGCAAGCAAGCAAGCAAGCAAAGAAACAAACAGACAAGCCAACAAAGTAACAAGCCAACAAACGAGTAAATTGACTAGCAAACCAGCAGTTAATAATCAACAAACAAACCAACAAACCAACAAACCAACACATCAACAAACAATTCAAATAATCAAACAAACAAACAAAGAGACAAACAAACAACCACACACACACACAAGCGAGCAAGCATGCAAGCAACTCAGCAAGCAAGCAAGCAAACAAACAAACGAGCAAACAAGCAAACAGGAACGCAAGCAGGCAAACAAACAAGCAGGCAAGCAAAAACGCAAGAAGGCAAGCAAGCAAGCAAGCAAGCAAACAAGCAAGCAGGCAACTAAACACACAACAAAGCAAGCAGCGAACAGACACACAAAACTAACAAACAGGCAAGCAAGAAGGCAAGAAGAAAAGCAAGCAAGCAAACAAACAAGCAAACGAGAAACAACAAGCAAGCAAACAAACAAGCAAAAGAGAAACAACAAGCAAACAAGCAAGCAAGCAAACAAACAAGCAAAAGAGAAACAACAAGCAAACAAGCAAGCAAGCAAACAAACAAGCAAAAGAGAAACAAAAAGCAAACAAGCAAGCAAGCAAGCAAAAAAACAAGCAAGAAAGCAAAAGAAACAAGCAAGCAAGCAAGCAAGCGAGCGAGCAAGCAAGCAAGCAAGCGAGCAAGCGGGCAAGCAAGCAAGCAAGCAAGCAAGCAAGCAACTACAACTCGCAGCGAACAAAATACAGGAACATGAAAACAGACGTGTCCAAAAACGTATTGTACAGCAAGAAGAAAGGGTGACATCTGCCGAACCCTCACCTGCTCAAAGGGCGTGGAGATCAAAGGTGATCACATTTTGGGCCCTCGACTACAATCGAGCCATGGAAATCGAAAGGTCGTACGGTGGAAAGGTCCATTCGTCCAAGGGGCAAGTGAGTCTCTTAGGATTCCCGTCTCGCACACACACACACACACACTTTCGCCCAGAAAAGCCCCCCACCCTCCGTCCCCCCGAAGCAAGCCACGGTCATGGGAGGCGGTTTGGCATCCTAAACCAAGCACTGGCACAGGATTTGGGCTGGGCCAACCCTTGAAAATTGTTTGAGCTGTTGAAGCAACCTCTTTTTGGGCTTCCCGTTAAATGGCATGGAAGGTGTCGGGCAACCGTAAAGTAGTTGAAACATGTCGACTCATTCCCACATATTCGCACAACTGGCTCAAGCCACCTTTTTGTTTCCCACTTGGGTGTGTTCCTTTCTAGTCATTCGGTGTTCCTTTTCCCTCGGAAACACCAGCCAAAAGGGCACCAACTCGAAAAGAGACACGCCCTTCGGTTCAAATCCCTTCCGGCGAGCACCGGGGCCCCCGGCACGCCCGTCTTTGCGGAGCGCCGCGAAGGCGCAGCTGGAGGACTGGATCTGGTCAACGTCCACCAGCTGGTCCTGGAGGATCTGTGGATCGCCATGGGGTCATGGGGGCCTAAGGGCGCTTAGAACCCGTGTCAGAAGGATCCTTGGAAGATTTCTTGGGTTCTTACACGGGGCTGGTGGGCCTTTCTCGGTTGATAAGCCCCTTCAAAATCAACGAGTGTATAACAGGAACCACCTGGGGGGCCTCAAAACCCGTGCTATTGGTTTGACCTACTGGCCCACCTTGACAACCTGCGAACTGTTTAAGGTTTAACGTTTATCTGGCTCAAAACCATCTGCTTCGTGTCTTTAAGGTCTGAACGCTTCTTTTGGTTGACCTGGTTCAAAATCGAGTTGCTGCTCAGTCAGATGAGATGTAATCTCAGGCAAGGGCCGAGAACCGACAGGGGGTGCCCCAACATTTACAAGCCAACCATTCAGAGCAAGCCAACCTTTCCCAGCAGAGTCGAGTTGTTCAAATCTGGGGGTCCCTAATCCTAATTCACAATCCGTAGTGGGGCACCACTACAACAAGGAAAAAACCCTACCATCTGGCATATGGATCGAGAAGCTATATTGGACAACCCAGAAAAGGTAGCCAAAAGGACAACCCTGAAGGAAGTCTTGCCGGCTCCTGCACATCCAGGCTGTCCTTGGTTAGGCCGTCTGTCTTGCCAACGCTTTCGCCGCATTCCGCCCATTCTTTCCAGGAATCCAGGACGCCTTTTCTTCAGAACATGGGCCACACCCCGAGGAACGTGTGATGGGCTTCTCAAAAAAAACAGTGCGAAAAGAGCAAGTATTCAATCCTCAACTCAGCAAGGTCGGCCCAAGGCCCAAAGCAACAAGTAAGCTGGACTGCTCAAATTGGAAGCTTGGAATTTCAATCCGATAGTCAACAATCCTATATTGGGACAAATTATTTCGTTCCTCCACTCACCCTGCTGATTTTAGGTCTTTGACTAGCTCCGAGGCTAGCCATACTCCGTAAGTGACCCTTTGCAAAGATCGGTGGCACTCATAGGTGATGAGAACCAAGCTGAAGCCAGCACCATCTGTTCTCAAACTGCGGGTTGTTGAGAGTAAGTGTGAAGCTGTTTTGAAAGGGATATCAAATGGAAACCATCCCCACCCTTTGTGGCGAACCCCATTGTACAGTACAAAAGCGATTTTAATAACCACAACAAATGTAAAACAAGTTGATGCTCAGAGGTCGGCTCCCCTTATTTTGAAACAGGGGCGGGGTCCCCAACAAGAGATTTCTCCGGGAAACGACATGTTTGTTTTTCTTGCAGAGTGTGCAACATTGTCAGACTTTCGCTACCGTTGTATTATGTTGCCATGCGTGGCTTCCTTCGTTTAGCCGGGGGGGCCCAAGCAAATAAGGGGTCCGCGCCCCCAACAAGGGTCGTTTCAATTTGATGTCCCTTTCAAACATCCGATTTTGTTGGAAACGTATGTGTGTGTGTGTGTGTCATTTGTTGAGGGAAGCACTTCTTGGTGTAATTCAAAGGAAAACCAAAAGGAAAACACCAATTTGGTGGGTCCCCTAAACATAAAGAAAACCAACCCATATAGTGTCTTTTTTGATGGTACCCCTCTCTACTTGGTTTTTAAGGGAAACCAAAAGGAACCAACCAAAGGCGGTGGGTCCGACCTAAAGAAAAACAAACCCATCATCGGACTCCGAGCGGCTCCGCCAGTGTCGGGCCGGCCCCAGGTCACCACTCTGCCGCCGCAAATGGCGGCGAAGGCACCGCCGGTGGACTGCAGGCTTTGGACATTGAGCCTAGGTGAAAGGTTCAAGTGATCAACAACAGGGTGAAGCCTAAAATGGTGAAGCCATAAGGTGAACGCCTTTAGTTGAGTGAAACAACCGGTTTAGTGAACAACCTTAGTTTAGTGAAAACAAACCTTGGTTTTGTGAAAACACTTTGGTTTAGCGAACGCCTTTGGTTTGGTGAGCACCTTCGATTTAGTGAACCATGGTGAAACCTTAGAGCGATGGTGGATGAAAGGTGAAACCTGAATTGCAAGCTTCAAGTGAACGTGTTGCCAGTCAGTGCGGAACCCCTCAAAAAGCTATGATAAAGATGAAAACAAGACAAAACAGTGCAGAACACCACAAACATCACTGTTCTGCTGTTCTACCATCATCAAATCACCCCATAAGAGGGAGGTCGAAGGCAAGCAGCCCCAGCTTCAGACTTTGCTACGCCAAAAACAAGTCGCAAGCCCCATCGACCCCGGCATTTCCAAACTTTGCGCTCAGCTGAAAGCTGCGCCGGAACCCGGAACCGGCGCAACCAGCGCCAAGAAGCAGGCGGTGCTGCACTTCGCTGCTGTCTCCCCCGGTGGAGGGCTCGCCCCACGTCACCACGCGCCCGCTTCGAAGCAGAGCCGCGAAGGCGGAGTTCGTGGACTTGATGCAAGCCACGTCCCCTCGAATCCGTTTTTGTTCGCCCGGCGAAGGGGGACCAAAAGGACATCGACCGCAACTCAAGGGGCCCGGAGCTTTTAGAAACACGCAAAAAACCAAACACTGAGGTGAACTCATGTGAGCGTTTCTCTCTAGTTGGTGGTTTTGAATCCGAACCACCGAGTAGGGGTTACCTGATCCTCGTAGGTAGGGAAACAGCTCTTTCTATGTAGACCATCCCTATGACTACCTTGTCACTTTCATGAGAGTTCCCTTGGTATCACAGCCAAGATTTCCACCACCATGCGTCTCCTTACAGCGGGTTCTCACATTATCCACCTGAACATTGCCCCTCCCCCCATGAGTTTTCCCTTTCTGGGCAAAGGGGAAATCAACCACCCTGGGTTTAAGACTCCCTTGGCATACCCGGGGATACTATCTTGGACCATTTGTTGGGAAACATGGACCCATGTTGAAGCTACCTTTTTCATGGCCTCCAGAAGGAAACATATGCTTATGGGCTCACACCAATACAAACAGTCGCCGATAACCTTGAGGGCCTAACTTACTTGCCTGAAAATACCCTTGGTTGCTGATTGAAGCCAAAGGTAACCTCACCCCTACGGGCAAAGGGGGAAACTAATTGCAACTGGGTCTCTCAGACTCTCTTGCACACAGCTGCTGTCGCCGCCAGCACAAGGATCGCCCCAGGTCACCACTTGCCCGTCTCCACGAATGGCTGCAAACGAGCTGTCACAAACCTCACGCGCCCTTTCTCGAGCCCCTTTCAGCGGGGCCCATTTTGTTTGCCGCAGGCAGCCCGCCAGGCCGTATTTCAAACAAGTGGACCGCAGGTTCTGACTTTGATAAGCCTGAACCAGTCAAACTAGAAGGCCCAGTTTACACTCGCCGCAACATGCTACTTTGGTCGGATCGCAAAAAGGCCCGAAGCCTCTGCTTGCCGATTCCTCCACTCAGCGAGCAAGCAAGCAAGCGAGCAAGCAAGCAAGCAAGCAAGCAAGCAAGCAAGCAAGCAAGCAAGCAAGCAAACAAGCAAGCAAACACATGTACAAGAACATTCACACACACACACACACGCACACACACACATACACAGCGAAAACACACAAGCATACACCCACCACACACACACACATACCACACAATAACAAAAACACAACACGTGTACACGCATGTGTTCGACCAATCCCACCTGAATGCATTGGACATCCTTTAGTCGCTGCTGCACGTAGCTGCAATCGCCCCCATGGCTGGCACATCCCCAGGTCTCCACATCGCCGTCCACGGAGATGGCCGCGAATGCGCCGCCATCGCTGGATCTGCGAGTGTGGCCCTGGATGTGCCTCGGGGAGGGCGGGCTGAGGCCATCTCCGTGGCAAATGAAGAGGGAAGGGTCCCCTATGGTCCCCCAGATTGTTGCCCGCTTCACGCACCCCAGGGTGCGCATGGGGGCCGGGCTGTGTTTCTCACTGCTAGTCAAACTCGAGACGAAAGACACACATGTTGCCACGAAACCCGTTGAACCGGGGCAAACGTCAAAAGGACTGGCACATTGGGAAAACAAGGACTTTGGGGCCTGGGCAAGAGCGGGGATGGGGAATCCCCGAGTCCTCGTGGCTTGGCCAGTCCCTTCTCTCTGGCATCGCACCAAAACATCTGGCAGGGGGTTGCGGCTTGGTCAGCAACTTCCATTCGCCTTCCGTCTTTGTCCACATACTACTTGGCCTTACTTGGGCTTGAGAAGTCGGGGGGTTCCCGAAAAGTTTTTCTCGCAAAGGGCCGCCAAGGCGCCTGACGCCCTTCAACTGCTGGACGCAGCCCCCGAGCTTGGGGTCCCCCCAGGTCACCACACCTCCGTCGGCCCGGATGGCAGCGAAGGCATCCAGAGCAGATTGGATGCACCTCGATGCGGCGCATCGACGCGCATCGAAATGTTCAGGAAGCCATGGTGATGTTCGGGGGCCCGGAAAAAATGGTCATACGAAGGCAACTTTCCGGAGCGTACATGTTGCGGCCGCTTGGCGGAAAAAAGTCAACGTAAATGGAATAGAACACACACACGCATGCACACGCATATAATGATGTCTGGTGACCAATGCTTCGATCGCGATTTAATTTGAACCAGGGCACAACGCTTCTTTTTCGGAGGGGCACAGTTTGTTTTCCCGATAGATGCTGATATATACAAATATATATATATATATGAGGCTGTCCAATATTCCTTGCTCCAAAAATCGCCTTCCGCCTCGCCCTTCCGCGAACTTCCGCGATGGCGGTAAAACCACACGTTCTGATACGTGTCTGAACATGAGTAAGTTTCCGTAAAGTGAAAGTAAAGCAAGCCAAGAGGAAGAGCTAGTGCTGAAAGCAAGAAGTAGACTAGGAATGGAGCGAGGATGGGACGAAGAGCAGAACGAGCAAAACGAAGGAGAAGGACAAGCAAACGTAGGAAGCGGAGCAGCAGAACACCGGAGAAAGAAAAGGAAGGAGGACCGTGGCAACAAGCGACAAGCTACGCTACGTAAAGAGACTAGCCACCCCCCGCGCACGGCGACAGCCACAGTTGCGGGGGCTTCGTTTTGGTATCGTTTTGAGCACTAGCACGCTGCTACAACTGCGGCGTCCCCGGGCGAGAGAATGAGCAGCAGCCCCGGCGCAAGGCGACAGCTGTAATTGTATGGGTTTCGTTTTGGCATCGTTTTGGGTATCGTTTGGAGCTCCGAATGTAATGCCGGAACGAAAAACAAATTTCGGAACGCGAATTTTTCGCGCTTTTCTACAAACTCTGCCGCGCGGGTATCAGAAGGACCACCGAATATGATGCCAGACTCGGTAGCTCAGTTGGGCCCAGGCGCTCCGCGGTATCGTTTCGGAATTGCGCAGGTATCGCCCGGGGTATCGTTTTCATCTCAGTACAAATCAACACATGAAGCACGCTTTGACTTTGACAGCCCAGCTGAAACATCGCAGTTTCTAAGTACTAGCAGAGCACGAGCTGTCCCAGCTCAAGCAGCACAACTTTTCAGTACTCGTGTAGTACAAGAGTAAAGCTTCATCCCATGATAACACATAACCTTCCGCGAAACTTCCGCTCGCCCTTCCGCGGACACCGAATATGCTTTCGTATTCAGTCCTTACAAAACAAATGCATAGGGGGGTTTTGGTCGATCCTCATATATATATATATACACATATTAATGATAATAATATAAATACATGTAAAGTACAAACATGTCAGTTGTGTCATGCATGCTAAATGTCAAACACCGAGGCGCAAGACGTCTCGCAACTCCTCCTGCACGTTGTCGCTGTCTCCCCCCGCCTCCGCCTTGCCCCAGGTGACCACGCACCCATCAGCTCGCAGGGCGCAGAAGGCGCCCCGGCACGCCTGGATGGCGGTGACGCTGGTCCTGAGGCGTGGGTGAAGAAAGTCATCAAGGTTAGAACATGTGTCTTGAAATAAGAAAGAAAAAAACATAAACTTCCTGATAGGTGGATGCTCTTCCTGAAAGGATTTTCTGAAAAGGGACTTTTTGGTGGATACAACTTAGATAGTGATTCATGTCCAGCATTTGAAGAGAGGTCCATAGAGCAGAACCGCTTGGAAGGAAGGGTGATCTCAGTCCAGATTCAATGCTCACATCGGCGTGGACTCTCAAATTATAGTAGCATAACTTCATACATAACCCACTATGAAATCAAACCAGGGCCCAGTTGACAAAATCATGGCCGCGTGTTGGGTCGGAATTGACATAAAACAAACAAATGGTGATACAAGATAACAGCGAAGCAGGCCAACCATCTGATCATCGTACTCTCCCACCAACATGGAAGCTGGCTGGAAGCCCTTGGAAGATCAGGTTCCTCTTTTGAAGTGATCCTATGTCAGCTGCCATGTTTGGAGGGAAGGTGCTTCTTGTTTGGCCCGTACCGAACCAAGAAGATCCTACCACAGCCAGCCCCCCCCCCCCCCCCCGCGCAGTTGGCAGTTTAAGGTCTGCCTGGACCAACACGCTCTCTTGAATCCAGAATTTGCATCAGGAAATATAGCTGTCTGCAATCCCTGAGATATAACAAGCTTTGGCCCAATTCAATCTGGTCCGCAGCTGTGTCTCTTGGTCAATCGGTGCGTCAATCAAATTCAGTGGACAACCACTGAAAGACGCGACATGGATTGCTAGTCCCTCTTTGACTCAGCTACCGGCTCCTCAATTGGAACAGCATGGTACTGTAAATTCCATGAGGGGTCAATGACCAGATCAACACATCTACAACTGGCGATGCCAAAAGAGATGAGGAAAAACTCCCAGACACACTGGAGCTTGTTACATCTGTGGAACGTGACTTAGCCAGATCCACCAACCGTCAAGCGTATCTCTCAAGCGCGGCCAAGGCTCAACCTGTCTTGCACACGGCTGCTATCACCAGCCTCCGGGGGATGGGGCCAACCTATCTGAAAAAGGGTTATTCAACCAGAATGTTGCGATTCTTCCGTATGATCGTTGTAGAGCTATTCCTCCCCAAGCTTTTTTTGTATAACGATTCGGCGAACTGAAATATGGGATCCCCACCGTATTTAAAAAAAAAAGGATATCGGTTGCAAACCCAGATCGCGGAGGGTCGACTCCGCTTGAGCAGCGGATTTACAAAGTTTTTGAATCCCCAAGAAACCAGGCAAGACCTTCACCCTGCTTTTGGTAAGCCTCATGGGCTTGAAGAAACGAGTTGCGAAGTTCGGGGGCGACATCAGAATGCACCTGGGTCTTACTCACACCCTCCACAAGCCTACCCAAAACCAGGTAGAAAATTGCAAGGGTGGTCGCTCGTGTGGCCGTTCCAAGCTGTTTGCAGGGGGAGTACCATGTTTTTCCATGTTTCGGACGGCATGTGTCAAAGCGACGCACCTGCAAGCAAAAACAAATTCAAACTGCGCCTCTGGCGTGGTCATGTCGGAAACTGTGCTCGGAGAGAATGTATGGGTCCCAAGGCACATACAGCTGCTGTACAAACTGCGAAGCCTGGACACTAAGCTCCTGAGGAGAGTTCTCAGTGGAGCGCTCAACCCCAAGCAAAACGACACAGGCCCCAAGGACAGCACAAAGGCGCTTTGGGTAAACTTGGAGGGGATCAAGAGTGTCCTGTCCAGCACTAGCTCACTTTCTGGCTCTTTGCTCAAACGGAAGCTGCCATTTTGTTAAGAGCTCAGGCAAGCGTGTAACACCGGTCCACATGAAGGTGGTGGACTGCGACAAGTCAACCTGATGTATGCCAGGAATGCGGCATAGTCTCTGCACCTCTTGCAATCTCCAGATGCTGCACGCAGTGCGAGCGCTTGCGTGCCATGATGGAAAAGAAGGGTGCTTGCGGACGCCCCCAACGCGGTGCTTGACACTAATGGGAAAAAGTGAAAGAGTCAATTGGAGCAGCCGGTTGCCGCGAAGAACCCGGCCATGCTCACGCGCTGAGAGATCGGGCCTTCCCCATAAGTCCTCTGAGTCACGAAGGATCCGTGGCGGGCCGCGCTTGCCTGTGACGTGTTGGTTCTGCCTCGCAACGGCCCATGTCTCGCATGGTGGACTGGCGGTCCATGCAAGAAGTTGCCCTGAGGTGATGAGACGCTCGAGGAGCCGCCTTGTTGCAAGGCGACTAGCGTCATCAAGCTGTTCATTGATGTCGAGAGTCACGACACGCACCGGAAATGAGGCCTGTCCTGCACAGAGCTCGATCCAGTACTGCTGGGCATCAAACGAGCACTGTTGTTGGTTCTGACCCAAGCATGCACCGTTCAGACACAACGAGCACTGAGGGGCACGAATCATGGGCATGAAGGGTGAGAGGTGGGGTTCTTTTCCTCCCCACACACACACATCAACCGACCTTCCCCAAACCGTCAGTACGCGGACCCGCTGAGCACCAGCAACAGTACCAGCAGGCTGCAAAGTGCAAAGGCCCGTACCTTTAGGAAGGTCAAATGTAAGACAGCGCATGGTCTCTGTAGAAAGCCTCCAAGTACCTGGGGCACCCAGAGCAACAGCAACGCCAGACTGAATAAGCAGGAGATCCGCGGACCCACTTACACTGATGAGTTCTGGAACGCTTACTACTGTTGAAGTGTAAGCAACACCCGTCGTAGTAATTTGACGGACCCATCCAGCCCTAAGAAGTGAAGGGTCCACCAAGAAAGGAACTCCATTTGATGGCCGCGCACCAACTGTGTTCACAAAATCCAACTGGCTGATGACTGCCCCAATGGAACAAGACGCCTCGTCGCATCCTCCAGGGGGACACGCCAAATCCCTCGCTGTAGTACCTGGAGGAGGCAATTGCCACCAGAACCAATCGAGGTACCTGTGACTGACGCTGCCGCGGCACTAGTAAGCCCTGAATAGCGCACAAAATACCGCGTAGGCAAGTACGCAATGGGTGCTAAACTAGCCATCAGGACCTCATGCTCCACAAAGTCTGCTTCTACCAGAACCAGCGTAGCAGGCGTACCCAACAGCGCTGCGAACCCGGTGAAGGTTGCTAGCATTCCTGGAAAGCTAGCTAATGGTGCACCACGCAAAGAACTTGCAGACACGATCTGTTTGACAGAACCTGGCGCAACCAAGTGCACTTCGTAGTGATCCGGTTGTTGCCCTTTAAGAGGTTAAATGTCATAACAGAGTGCTGGCGCTGCTGCTGTACCTGTAAGAACCGGAGGAGTCACAACAGGCACGTCATCGTAATCCACAGCCACAACTGGAAAATGACCTGTCCAATACGTGGCAATAGTCATGGCGTCAACCTTCATACAGTGAGAATAACCTGCAACAGAAACACCAGATGTAAAACCATGTGCTTCCAAATCCCTCGTAAGGCCCGCTGGATCGAAGTTATGCCCCCTAGCCAACACCTCTTCTGGTCCTGCTGTAAGAGAGGCATAAACATACGAAGCCATGCTGGCGCCATCCCCTATGACATAGTGGAATGGGTTGACGCAGTGGTACCTGAGGCGATGGCCATGGTGATGGTGGCGACGTCACCAACCCTGGTCAGACGAAAAAGGCCCTGGGTCACCTGTACACCTGGAATAAATGATACCCCAAAGGCTTCAAACGTCGGAAAAGTCCTCACCACATTCCGACCAACTGTTTTTGTGAGATCAACAGCCGTAACCCCTGTAGGGCTGTCGAATGGACCAAATCTAGATGTCGATGAAATGACAGCCTGGAGTGCTGCCAATGTCGTTGCGCCTCTGAGAGCAAGGGGCACAGTCGACATATCCGGGGTACTCCCTGTAGGTAATGCTGCTTCAATGATGGACGTCGTATCATCTAGACAACGCTTCCCGACCGGTGCTACATAGACAGCGGAAGCTCCACTATCCAATTCGCACATATCCACGTACCGGCACTCAACCGTGGAAACCGCACAGCTCCTAACTCCAGTGGTGCCAGTTACCTGACGAAGATGGCATGGCGTACACTCTGCCGACACGGTGCGGGACCCGCACCAAAGGGCTCCTAGGCCCACCGACAGAAACCACCACATGGAACCCATGTCGCCAATCAGGTTTCTGAACCACTTGGAAAAGGACTGTGGCCTCCAAAGGTCCACCGAAATGGATAATCTTGAGCCAAAATGGCTACGGAGAGGGAGAGTACCGTTGATTCCCTCTACTTTACAAGTAAGTCATACTTGCTTACTCCTCTTCAGTACATCCACCACACCGGTCCCAGACTGGGCAAAAGAAGCACAAGCTACACGCGCCAAATCCAGTCCACGGTGACCCTGCTTGGGAACCCCGAGAAAGGAATCTTTGTGTCGGGTGCAATGCCGCAGCCCAACTCCATGTCGCGGCTCGTCATTTCGGGAAGTGAAACCAGTGGAATTCACAAAAGTTTGTCTCCGAAAACAGCCCACAAGATGGGTTATTGCCCTGAGGTCTCTCTCAAAAGAGCTGTGTTTCCTGGGTCTCCCTCAAAAAGAGCTCCAAAGAGTACCCTCAAAAGATACCCTCCTGTCCACTGGTTCCATGTTCCAGGACTGGAGATGGCAAACCCTTCCAACGAAACTGAGCGAAGGTCCTGGCGTGACATTTCGCCTCTTCGGCACCCCAGCTAACCACAGATCCATCCGCTCGCAAGGCAGCAAAGGCGCCCAGGGAGGACTGGATCTGCAGAACCTCCGTCCTGGGCGAGCACCATGCAAGGTACGAAAGAAATCAAGTTGACTCGCTGCCCAAAGTCTCACTTTAGGCAGGTTGATGCAAGTTGACTCTTTGTTGGGTGAGAGGGAAAATGAAACAAACGCAACATGGTAAAAAGCTGGAGAGGCAAGTTTAGTCTGACAACAAAAGGCTTAGACAGTGATTAAAACTAGTATGAGGTATAGTAGTTGGAGCAAGAATCAACATTTGTGCAGCCAACATGAGCTCCAAATAGTGCCAACTTCGGATTTGTCGGATGACGTGTCCCCTTTGAGCTGGGGAATGCCTTAACTTTTTGGGGCCGAGAGTTATGCGATTAGCATGGTGTTCCGGATAAATAACAGGCTATGATTGTGATTGAAACTGTCCAAACCCACTGTTGGTGAATGCTCTCCAGAAGTGCTCTCCAAATCTTGGTAATTGGGTCCAGATATCACCATGCTGGCAATAACATTGGTCAAGTTTTCATTGAAAGCCAAGAAATGAGGTCCCTTTCGGAACAGCACGGATGACAGCATCAATCAGAGTGGCCATAAATGCATCCGGCAAGTTCGGAGCAACACCTGATAAATCCGAAAGGGTTATCCTGAAGTCCAAAGCGGACATTGACCGCCAGTCTCCAAATTACTTCGAGCGTCAGCTGATCTTGCACACCACTGCTATCTCCGCCGCATTCCTGGTAGCGCTTCCAGCCGAGAACTTGCAGGTTGTTCCTTTCCGAGTCTCAAAGCCCGAAGGGCTGAACATCCCCAGATGAGGATGGGAAGCCTCGACATGTCCGCAACATTGATTGAGGCCTTCGCAGCCTGCCAGAAGAGATTTCCATCGAACTGGTGGTTTAGTTTCCTATTTATCCTCTACAAAAGCCCGAAGTTCAAGATGTCACCACCAATCCAAAGCACCACACACTTCCTGAGTGGGTTGGACAAAAAGTAACCACCTTTTTTTGTCTACGACTAAAATGGCCCAAACCCAAAAAGTGACGAAAGTCCAGCTCAGGGAGTGAGAAGTGATCTGACGCTGAGTCCTCTTCGCCCCAGGTTGCTACGCTGCCATCCCCATAGACCGCCGCAAAGGCTGTAGCGCCTCAGCCGCGCCGCCGTCCATGGCTTCCGAACCCAGATCCACGCGTGGCTTCCAATCGGCCCTAAGCACAGCCCATCAGTTCCATCAAAATGGGTGGCTTCCAAAGTGGCTTCGAAACAGCCCCGAAATGGGGGGCACCCTCGAAACACTGAGATTTCTTGGTGGTGAAGCGGAAAGAGGAACTAACTCAATTCGAGCAGAACCTGGAATTGCTTTCAAAGGAGTCTCAAGCTGCGCTCGGGAAACAGACTCTCTAAGCAATGTGCCACGCTATGCACCCACCAGGATCAATAAAGCCCTTGTTCATGAATAGGGGGTGTGCAATGTGAGTACTTGGGGGCGCGATCCTTTCAAGAAGCAACGCGCAAAACTCCATCGGGACAACATGTTTCCAATCAAGTATATATCCCTTCACGGACTTGGAAGTGCCCAGGCCCCCTATAAGGAAAGTTGTTTTCCTCTCTCAGTGTTTATGCACTTCTATGTGCAGCATGGTAGGCAAAACTTGTTCCGCCCAGACCAACAGGCGGGCCCGGGCCCTTACTTCGGCTTTGGCCGCGGCGCTGGCCGCCACCTGCGGCCAAGACGACACCCCCGCCAGCACCAGCCGCTCCCCAGCGCACAGGCCATCCGACTCGGAGGCCACCAGGTGCAAGAGGCGCAGGCGCCGCTTGCCGTGCCACAGCGCGAGGCTGCGCGGATCCAGGCCGAAGGTTTCAGCCGCCTGGACCTCACAGCCGTGTCCAGTCAAGTCCCCCCATCTCTCGCTACTTTAATGGAAGATCCTTTCAGTTCTCGCTTCCTGATTGGGAAGCGAGCCAAAAAGGTCTGCACTTTTGGTTTACAAGTTTACAAAAACGGTCCAAACCTGAAGTGAAGCTTCAGTCCACAAACCAAGACTTTCCAGGACCTTTTGAACCTCAGTGCCATCACCGGTCCTGCACATCTTTGAAGGTCCACTCCGCTGACGCGAACATCTCCGCGGAGCGCCCCGAGGCGAGATGCACCACCACGGCACGGCCATCCATCAGAAAAGCTTCGGAGCACCGCTCGGCCCATTCGGATGTCGCGGAAAGGGGCCGTCAGGAGGTCTCCAGGAAATTGAGGTCCCAAAGCTTTCGGTGAGGTTGACAGGTTGCGGTTTTGGCTATCGATTTTCCGCCATCGTTGGGCGAATTACCGAGCCCAAATAATACAATCATGCCCTTTAGTTTGTTTCTTGCGAGGCCATCTTGTGGGGGAAACGCCCCACTAATCTCGGGTCAACATGGGCTCATAGACCATGCAACCCGCGAGGTCATTTGAGCATGGCACAATGAAGGTGTCACAGAGAGGTGATGCTTTGGCCTTTCAGGCGTGTTGTGAGTGGAGGTCGCTGGCTTCCTGGGAGTCACTCGCTTTGAGTATGTCCATGCGGGCGTTGGCCCACACAGGGCTTTTGGCTGCCGCGCGAGCCAAATCCGCAACCGGAGCGAAGGGCGAGCGATGGAACATGAGGGCGCTCCATGACGCCGGAAGTGTTACCTTAAAACCACACGGGTGCCCCTCCCTCTAAGCGACCCCGGATTTCTATCGACCTGAAGTCAGGGACCTGTTTCCTGAGCTCGCCTTGCCAGGTGAGCTGGCTTCCCCCCAAAGGGCAGGAGCACCAAAAATCGGGCACCCCCTGTCAACAGGTGTCAATAAAACAGGCTTGGCTCCCTGTTCAACGTGTGTGCAAGCACCCCACTTCAGCCCCCCCCCGCCTGCAGAGAACATCTGAAAGCCTGCTTGGACCTTGTCAGGGAGTCGGCACCTGAGTGCAAAGCAACCTCAGGGGTTTCACAACGTGTCACCGGCGGCACCCTCTATTTTTGTTTGGTCAGGGAACCAAAGGAAAACCCAAGACGTTACTGGCACTCACTTTGTTGTCTCCCATTGGAGACAAACCTTCCAGACACGCGGGACAAAAACAGCCTCGTTGCTATTGAGGTGCTCATTGTATCGTGGCACCACTCCGTTTGAACGCATTCACGCAATGGGAGCGTCCATACAATAGAGCCCTTCCGGATCGCCGGATCGTGCTTATACACAGGTGCATCTTCATATTGGTGCATGCAAGCTTGAAGGCGGGCAACAGGAGCGTCAACAAATTCCAAACCAAGGGGACTTGCCGAAACGGGCCCCCTCTGACCGCTCTCCGAGCTTAGGCCCCCGCCAGAACACTGCCAGAGATCCCATCACCATAGCCAGCGACGGCAGCGACACCACCAGACCCACATGTCCACTCTCCATGGCGCCGGGCTGCGCTTGTTGGGTGCCCCTTCGCAGGCGCCCCAAAAGGACAAGGACGCGGCGGAGGGCGAAGTTCGAAAGACCTTCCCGTTGCTGGTCTGACAGTAAGCTGCTCAGGGAGGCGTGAGCCTTGAACGCCTTTTGCTTGACTTGAGAAAGGGTCTTCTGTCGAGCTCACAGGAATACAATAACTGCCTCTGCTCATTCCGGCAGTCTCTCCACAATCTGTGAGGCTGTCTTCCAGTACAACTGGGCGTCCTGCCCCTTGGTAAAAGTGCAATACAGTCTTTCGTGTTGATTCACTGCGTCAGCCGTCAATGCTGCTTGACAGTGTGCTTCCGGCTACAAACAGCTCGACACAGCGCGGCGTTTGAGATGCAGAACAAGAAGTGAGACTGGTTCTGGCCATGTCGCCACTCGGCTGTGAGCTGCTTTCAAAAACTGCACTACCTCCGGGCTTGCGGGTCATAGTCTTGCTCATCAAAAAAAGCTACGCCAGAAGCCCTGTGTTAAGACGAACGTAGCTCTCTGATGTCAAAACACGGGGTGTGCGTCTGACTTGAAGAGCTCGTCGAGCTTCTGACCACCATGACTGGCTGCCTAGCACTTCAAGCTCCGAGTGACGGGGGGAAGTTCCCTGCTTCCTGCCAAAAGAATGTGCACCGAGAAGGCTATCTTACACTGCAAGAAGAACAAGATTCCCCTGCAACTCTACTCTACCTGGGTCAGCCCCAACTTGCAACAGGCCTTCAATCCTCGCCAACCGAGCGGTTCTACGCGGAATAAGAAACATATCCAGACATACACTTCACACTTATTGTTTGCGGAAGGAAGGCCATGCATTCTGACCTTTCATTTTTAGGCTCAAAGGCAGCATCACACAGACCGCAGCATGATGGCTTAGGTCAAGGAACCCGATTTGAGCAGCTAGAATATCGAACCTCAACATTTGTGTAACTACGACTCACAGCCTCAAACTGTTCGGAATCCCAAGTAAGGAACGATCAATAAAGGTCGCCTTTTTTGGGCCAGGTCAATTCGACCCTCTTTCGAGACTTCCCAACTTCCCTATGGCAGCCCATCGCAAGCCGACGTGCAACCAAACTCCGACATTCCGTGCCGTCTTTTGGCTCCCATGTTCCAGTTTGGAGGGATGAGACTTGGGCAACCCTCAGTGGATTCTAGCAGAAGGGTAGGATCTAAACATATGATATCAGAGGGAGTCGGTTTTTGGGGGGACCCCCTTTTTGGATAGGGATTGCCCTCAAAAAAACACACACCTGTCCTTTGGTGCCTCCTCTGGTTCCTTTCTACCTACCTCATTTTCTGGCCGGAGCCTCTTCCACCAGGCGCTCCACTTCTGCCACCACCTGCTTCAGGCACTCCGAGCCTCAGGCCGCTCGGCCGCTCGGCCATGCGGGCCCACAGCTGAGATGCACTCCGCCGGGTTTTCCGACCGCCGCTTTGAAGGTCCACGTCTTGAGGGACACTGAGGGCCTCAACCCAAGGACCCCGTAGGCGATCACCTCCGAAAGGCGCCAAGGCAAAAAAACGAACACCGCCCCCCAAGCTGTTGGGGTCGGTCCCTTTGCTTTCCCCATGTTTCAGGGGTCCCGATGCTTTTCGTATTTCCCCGTGTTTACCCACTTTTGTCAGAGCCCCCCCTTTGTTTCCTCCATGTCCACTCAGTGAATTTGGACCCCTCACGGGCCCAAGTTCTGAGTGGCCAAGCTCAACCAGGTTTCTCCTGACGCCGACCCGCGCAAAGAAATCACGGAATTGTTCCTGAATTAAGCTGTATGCAACTACTCACGGTGTCCCCAGTGGGAATAAATCAGTCTACAAAAAAAATAGTCAAAATACAGCGGCATCTTCTCAGTGTGGGGACTGTCATCCACTTGTGAGTGTTGCGCTGTGGCATGAATGACGGCATGCAAACACTTGGGGATCCTGACGTTGTAACGCTTTTCCTTTTGCGGGATCATTCGGTTGAGGGGGATTGCCACTAGTCTGAAAGAAAGGAGACAAAATTACATTGCAAGGCACATTGGTTTTCATACCTTTCTTATCACTGGTCAAACAGCATTTAAACACAATGACGCACCTGAGCTTGATAGTTTGAATGAGGCACAGCTTGCCTGTCACTGCTTTGCTAGCTTGCAGTTCATGTCTAGCAACTCGTGGTAAAATACCACCCGTAGTGGGGATCCAAAACTAAAACTCTTCATGTGCCGGCCATCCGCACCAATGTTCACGTTTGGGACTGTCCCTAAGCTCCATCTGCCAAGGTGTTTGATTCAGCGTCCAAATGTGTAGGAATCTCTCTGTGATGGACCCGCTTTTTGGACGAAAAGGCTGGTATGTAACATTTCATTGTTCTAAGTTCTATCTGGGTCAACCCTTTTGGCCATGAGGCAGCCAAAAGAAAACACCTGGGAAACCACAACTCTAAATAACAGCTACCCACACGGGAAAGGTTCAATCCTTGTCAATTCATGGAAGATGGTACAACCCTACCACTCTCACCAAAAATGCGGTTCAAACATCGAGGAATCCCATAGAGACAGATCGTAGAGCTATGGGCCCAGGCACACCGGCTGCTTCTGCTCCACCTGCCCTGACGCCAGTGCCTCAAGTTGGCGCGTGCAGGGGGCCCTCATGGGACAACCCCGCATTCAAACGCGGGCTCGGCTTAGCAGCACGGCCCTAAAGCGTTGGCTTCCCTCCCCAGGCATCCAAAGGTCAGGAAGGTTTCCCAAGGGGGAGAGTATGCCTCCAAAATCAACCATCAAAATGGTGAAGAAGGCGAGGGCTAAACAGTGATCGGAACAAACCGACATCTTCATTGTTTGTTCCTGTGTTTGTTCGTTCGTGTGATATTAATTCGTTGCAAACACAACTGGAGGCTTGTCCACGGCTTTGGGTCGAAGACCAAACAAGATATCTGGACAAACTACTATACTCGGTTGCGTTCTGCTCCCCTGCTAAAAGTTTAACGTTTAGTGGTTTAATGGAAAACCCATTACTTGGCAAAAAGTTCAAGTCCTAACATCCAAGCAACATGCACCAAAGTATAATTCACCACCCAAAAACGAAAGAGAGGAAGCCGCACCAAGGTCGCAACCGCCTTTGTGAACTCCAATTTGAGGGACTCAAAACATGGCTCCCACCTTCCAGTTGTCCCTCGTTCCATTCCCCCGCAAAAAAGAAAAAATGTGATACTTACTAGGGAACAATAATTCACCAAACGAAACATGGGAACCAAGAAAAGGCCACTTGATCATGAATGAAGTCGCAAAACTCTTGCAAGGTGGCAACAACCTGCGCGGTTGCGAACGAAATGAGATTCATCCGAATTCAGTCCTGTCATCAGCTAAGCCCAAAAGGTACCTCGAATTAGACTGAGTTGGACAGGGGTCGCCGGATCCCCCATTCAAACATTACAAGTACAGGTGACTTCTGTTGAAACTGCCACTTTGGATTCCAAAATGAGAAATGGAGGAAACCTTGTTAGAACTGAGGATTGCGCTGGGCGGAAACCTTCCAATGAAACTGCCATTTCCTGTGGGTTTGCGCTGGGCGGCCGGGCCATGATCTGCTCTACGCGCCAAACTTGCTCGAAGGACGCTGTCCAGGGCTGGCGCAGCTGCGTGTCTGCCGTTTCCGGCCATGAAACACCCCAAGTTGGCTGCAGAGAATGGGGGGAGGGCAAGTTAGGCGGGGGGTGGGACCATTTTCTTTGATACCAAGCCAATATGCCTACGCGCGTATAAATGTGTCTACATAATAATTAGAAAACATATTAAATGCC